TTCAGGAATAAAAGTAATGTCCAGAAGTAGTTGAACAAGGAAGAGACCCACTGCTCCCACCCCCTCCCCCAACAAGCATGTTGTAAGAGTTGACTTGATTAACAATGTTTTCTTTGAAGTTGGAGTACCTTTGCCTGAAAGGCAGGCAACCAACAGTCTGCATAAAAAAATAAGGCAGATCTGTAAAATGAACGTGTACAAAAAAACTCATGTTCAGGAATAAAAGTAATGTCCAGAAGTAGATGAACAACCAGAATTTTCCACCAGTGAACGCAAAGAAGATTTCTGCACCTCTAAAGCAGAGCATAACACTATTTTCTGGAAAGGTAAAGTAAAGGACCCTTTTCAACGCCTTTCAGGCTAGACCTGTATTTTAGAGACCGAATGGCACTTGATGGGTGATGTGGTCAGCATCACGCCAGCCGCCTTTATTTCCCAGGAGTATACCTGGTACCTACTCAAGGCTAGTTCGACCTGAGAGCCAAAATTATTTTGAAAATAATCAGGCCCCTTTCATCCGCAGCCGAACGTCTATTTTCATTTTTTTGGCGGGGTGCAACAATAAAAAACCAAATCATTTCCGATGTCTGTATAATTGTAAATATATTTCAGCTTTAAACATACATAACATTTGTATCTGGCTAACATACTATTACATATATTTGGGCATAAAAACGAATAAAATTGAAATTCACAAACTTATGGTTAGTCAGCTTCTTACAGATCCTGCCATAGGGCACGGTTAATCATGTCCATTTTGTAAACTGCCAGTCACTTTTGATACAGCTCTGTGCCGACACCATCAGCTGCAGATTTCATTTGGAATGCTTTTCGTCTGTGCCTAGCATGGTTTGTGTTGTGAACTGTAGATTCAGAACATGGTGAGTGGGCAGGCCAGAGAATAGGTGAAGTCTTATGCAGTTAATCCATGCAATGTAACTGCTGCTTCAATTAGCTATGAACTGCACTTCTAGTACTGGCCTTTTTATGGCTGCACTCCCTGATGGCTGGTTACCTTATGCATTTATTGCATGTGTATTCTATTGGCTGTGCCCAAACTTTATTCAGCAGTAAAAAAAATTTTCAACAAGGGACAGCAATGGGCAGTGTGTTTTCGTTGGCACAGGAATGCAGCAACTATGGGGTGACCCATTTGCTATAATGTTGGAACTGCGACTACCCAGTTACATGATCTATGCCAGGATTCAAAAGTGTCCAACATTTTCTCTAGACCCCCCCTAATGACCGGCAATATCAATATGTAAGCAGAAAGATACGGTCATACATGGCTACAAATGGCATAGACTATCAGAATAAACACCCATTTTCTTTATAAGATTAAAATAAAAAAGTGTATACTTGTAGATAACTACATATTAACGTCACAATAACATGTCAACATTCTGGCGATTTTGTGACAATAATAACAAGTTAATATTTAACAGACATCTTGCTGTCTAAGCAAGATGTAACTTTATTGCAAACATTATTAGTGAATTACATCCAATACAGTAACAAATAGTTTCTTCAACAAAGAAAACCATTGCATCTGCTGCAAGCCAGCTCTATATCAAAGCTTTTACAAGTTCTACCATGCGGCGCCTGTACAGATCTTTTCTGCAAAATGCACATCCATGCGGCGCCTGTACAGATCTTTTCTGCAAACTGCACATCTGATTCTTATATAGGTTAGTTGCGTATCCTTTACAGGAGGTTGCAGAACCAACAACCCCTGGCCACTGTGTGGTTTTTCTAGGCAAATTTACGTCCAGTAGTTTGCCATTGCTTTCTGGACGGCCAGCTTTCTTGATACCACTGTCGAAACCAACGTAAGGCGCATGGCCCGCAGCTGGGATCGAACCCGGCGTAACGAAGCGTTCGCATCGACTTAGCCACAGATCGATTCTTATATAACAGAATTGTTTTCTCTTCCACAAACATGTTTTTTTTTATAAACTCTTCCACAAACTAAACCTGTTTCCAAACAACACATTCTTCCACATATAAAACCTGTTTTCTTTATGAGAACTCTTTCACAAAAAGTAAAACCTGTTCCCTTTATAGTAAACTATTTTTAAAACTACAAACTTCTTTCCTTAATAAAAAAAAAACCTTTCAAAAATTGTAAACAGGTATCCGCTATAACATAAAAATGTCCACAAAATTAAATGCAAGCTTGTTTCTTTAATATTAAAAATGCCACAAAGTGTAAACTTGCTTCCTGTGTAACAGACATTGTCCCTGCATAACAAATATTGTCCACAAACTTGAAAGCTTGTTTCACGTATACACTTCTGTAAACCGTACAGCTGTGTTTTAAAAACAACTACCAGAAACAAAGGTGATCAGCAGTTGCATGAATCAATGAACATCTAAGACGTGTCATATCACTGAAATTTGAGCTGAGCATGCTCATGAAAGGAGAAGGCTGGCTGAGCAGTTAGGTCTGCCAGATGAGAGCCTAGTATACCAAGTTCAAATTCCCTCAGGTAATAAAAATTTGTTCCTTTCGTTTCTGCTTCGGGTATCGAAGGAGATATAAGGTTCTGTGTCTTGCTCTCCTGGCCGCCTCGACCAGACACTCATGCTGTTAAAGTTTTCTCTGATGTTATCTTTCCATCTGGTTTTTGGTCTACCTCTCTTGGTCCTTTATAATAAATACACTTCCTACAAACTGTAATCTGTTTTAAAAAACCTTCCAGAAAAGAAACCTGCTTTGTAATTAACAAAAGCTCTTTCACAAACTAAACCAAAATCAAACTCCCATATTGTACACATTTTTTAACATTCAAGTAGAGCAAAAACCTCTTCCACAAACAAATAACAAAGTCAGTTTCCAGCATAACAGTGCTCTGTTTAACAACAGCAAATATTAACTCATGTGCATAACCAATCAAAATTATTTGTACAGATCTGTTGTCAATTTTCACTGAAGCCAGCAGAAGGCAGGGTACCCAAGATTGACTGAATCGACTATAAAGAAAGTATTTGTGAGAAATTCAGCTATTTGACAAATCATCTAACCCTTGTGACTCCAGTAACATACCAAAAGTGATCAGGAAAAAAAAAATCACATGTGTACTAACTATTGGAGACGGAAACACAAGAAATACTCAGATACCAGAAAAATGGTTTGATCAAAGACTATCAACGGAAAAAATACTGCAGCACACAAGCTTTACCAGGTAATAAACAAAAGATTTATTGAAACCTGGGTTACTAATGTGGAAATTGTATCATTCCAGTTCTAATGATAGGTAATAACAAACCCCCCCCCCCCACTGGTAACAACTTTGGTTCAAATGCTATCTGTGCGTGCATACTTCTTCTCACTGAGCCTCATAGTTTCATTTTGTGTTCACTTGTTTTTCAGAATCAGCTTGACAGCAGTAATCCCAATTTTGTAATACCATATGTTAGTGTTTCCCACACTTTTCTTAGCCGCGGCGCCTTTTTTCAATAACAATTTTTCTATGGCGCCCTTACCTAAGTAAAAGTATGACTACCCGTATGAAAGAGATAGAAAAAAATTAAACTTATGTATCTTTGAATATTTTGTTGCGCCCCTGTGAAGAGGTCGCAGCGCACAGTTTGGAAATCACTGCTATATGTGATCAGCAGTTGTTCATAAGTATCAATTACCACAAAAGTTGTGTTTACAACCCAAAAAGTAATAATAATGTTACCCTGCAGTTCATTAGTTCAAATACAACCTTCTTTCTGCAAAAATAGCGTTGCCCCAGTCTCAAATCCTGGGAAGTAAAGGCAGCAGGCATAATGTTGACCATACCACCCACAGAGTGCCGATTGGTCTATAAAATACAGATCTAGCACTGTGTGCCCAATAAGCCTGAAGGTATGGACAAGGGTCCTTTCACTTACTGCTGTGGGTGTTAAAGGGAGATTTAATGATCTGTGTCGTGCTCTTCTAACCAGCCTGACCATAGGTACATCATGCTGTTGAAAAATTCTCTGATATTATCTCACCATTCTTTGTCTATCTCTTGCTCTAAATTCTTCACCTCTTTTGTGCATGCCTTGTACAGTATGGTGTCGCCTATTATAAAACTATCTTTAATTTTAGATCTCTGGTCCCGATTTCACGACACAAAGCCGGAGTAGTATTGATCAGAATCCTGTCACTGATAAGGGCTTCATGCTGGATACCCAGTGAAGAGACAAGATAACAGTAACAAAACTAGATAAACAGGCTTACAGCGGATGCAGCTAACCTTTACACCAACAAGGTAATTCCCAATAAACATGACCTAGTATTCTGATAGGAAATGCTGACATTTTTAAACATTTTCAGCACCAGACAACTCAATATTCGTTCACTGATTATTCTGTCCATAAAATAGATTTCCTAACTTTTTCTGTTCAGCTCTTCTGTCACATTAATCAACTTTATTTGATTTGTTACTTTATCTCATTTTGCACCAACTGTGTGTTAGTGAAGCTATTTTATTGGCTTGTCAAGTTAATTCCTAATAAGTAGGACCCAGTATTTTAGAGGACCTGGATACGGTTGGGGGGGGGGGGGGGATGTGGATGATCGCATTTTTCGTCAGGTATTCACTTGCACCATGGGTATGTGTATTCATTTGCTCTTGCAGAAGGGTAAGAAACAGTAAGGGTGTGGGAAAACCGTAAGTGCAGTGTAATTATTTCTTAATTCCTGCATTCAAAAAGAGTTTAACCTGCGATGCTTAGTTCAAATATTGGCCGGCTAATCGGAAGATCTTATATTCAAATCCTTTCATGCAGATTTTAAAAGATTGACATTGGCTCCGTTAGACTTGGTCTAAAACTGGTACAAGAAAACATCCTGAGATGTAACATCTAGTGTGCTGTCTTACAGTTGGTCTATACATATACAGAGCTAGATCCATTTGCCCCAGTGGTGTGATTTGGTCCTTCATTTACTAAGCAAGAACAGAGACAACATTAACAGACAGAGACACCGGCTTTCGATGGACACAGATATCCACCACAACAAGTTAATTCCGAATAAACATGACCTGGTCTTTAGAAGTAGCTGCGGAGAAGATTGATTGTATGGCTGCAAATACTACTTTTGGAGGTTGAGAAGCATCGACTGCTGCATGCAAGCCTTGTTTGGCATAGTAATCCACCAGTGGTTTGGTCTGTTTGTGGTAGGCCTCCAGTCTTTTCTTCAAGGCCTCTGCATTGTCATCCTGTCTTCTGACTAGATTCTCCCCAGTTATCTGTGCACAAGAGAAAAATGGATTACACACACCAATGGCCCAAAATATTTTAGAATATTATTATATCGACTGTGCTCATCACTAGACCCCAAATAAAACATGTTACTGGTTACAGATTCGAAATCTGCCCACAGGATATCTGACAAAACAAAAATTACAGACTCACAGTCAACATCAGGTAATCTTCTTTTTTTCGCAATCACTGGCTGTAAACTCCAGCGGAAAGTTCTGGTTGTTCATCCACTTCCAGACTGCAGTCCTGTTCCAGAACCTGAGTGTTGCATCTGCATCCTCTTGACAGATCTGACTACTTTGTATGCAGATGTTTGTTCCTTGCCTCTCAGGCAGATGTACTATGACTTTGAAGGAAGCTCCCAATTAGTTGACTCTTACAACATGATTTTTGATAGGGAGTGGGTCTATTCTTGTTTTCCCTATAAAAGGGTCCCGGAAGCCACATGGGGTACATCAGGTAATGAACAGAGAAACAAAAAATAATGAACTAGAATGAACAAATAAATAATTAAGAAAGAAATGAAGCAGAAATTATAAACAAAGAAGCAAGGAAGTTAATAACAAGAGGTGGATATATTGAACACTCCAACAAACAAAGAAACAAAAAAATTGGTACAATATTTTTTGCCTCCCCCAAACACGAAATTCCCCTGGGAATTCCACAGCTGACTTGACAGTCCATTATTTCAAGGGGTGCAAGTGTGCTGCTGTCTGCTGCTGTTTTTGAGTGTTCATCTAGTGTCTTATGGTGCGACATATTTCGGTTTGTTGATGCGCATTTGGCTGCTTGATGATGCGCAATTGGCCGGTCTGCAATATTAGTCATGTTTTCATAACATGTAAACATGTGAGTGCATAGCGTAGTTGGTATCACATCTGCCTTGTAAATGAAAGATGCCGTGTTCAATACCGACGTGATCCATTGTGAATTTCCTTTTTTTTTTTTCAAATGAAATGTAAATTGTGTGTGTTTTTGTTGTCACAATGTTTTTTTTTTAAAAATAAAATGTAAATTGTGTGTTTTAAATGAAATGTAAATTGTGTGTGTGTGTGTGTGCGCGCTCGTGTGTGTGCGCGCGTGCGTGCGCGCGTGCGTGCGCATGTTTTTTTAAAATAAAATGTAAATTGTGTGTTTTAAATGAAATGTAAATTGTGTGTGTGTGCGTGCGCGCGCGCGTGCGCGCGCGTGTGTGTGTTTTTGTTGTTGTTGTCACAACGTTTTTTGTAAAAATAAAATGTTAATTGTGTGTATGTGTGTTTGTTGTCACAACGGTTTTTTTTCACTACATGTAAAATGTGCACTTTAGCTATGTGAACTCTATGTGCAATCGCAGGAAATGCCAATTGGGGTACTGTGGGGGGCCCTAAAAAGGGCCAATCATTCTACATGAATACTGCTGGGTTCACGCACGAATTGACAATCACAGAGATTGTACACGTTAGTAGATCTGAACTGAGGTCAAACTGCGGTGGCAGAAGAGACGACGGACTAGTAGTCTCTCGGGGGCCAGAATCTAGCAATGTCTGCTAGTATGGTTTCAAACATGTCGCCACCCGAACGTTGAGCGCGCCTGCGCCACAGAAACTCACACATGTAAGATTCTAATAAATGTCTGTGGGTGCCATTCTGGCGCTTGTTTCTCTCCTTTGCCGACCTCCACAAACGTTCGATGCATTGCGTATGAGCACCTGTGGTGGGGTCGACAAAATTAATGGAGTGATTGTTTCTGCAACTTCTGGTTCTGTGCAGAATGCCATGCTGTTGCAGGAAGGCAATACTGCTTTCTTTGTCTTGTACAGATGCAACTAGCTGTAGAAAATTCATCGTGACTGCTGCTGGAAACAATGGCAACTGACTGACGCTGGAAAAGAGCGGTAAACATACGTCATCAATGTTGACACTTTTCTTTGACAAAAACATCCAAAATGGAGTCAAAAAAGATCTTAAAATATCCAAATTTGCGTGGAAAACATATATAAAAAAAAATCCAAACGGGAAGAGTCACAAATTACATAGCTATTAATATGACTAAAATGTGTAGCATTAATCTGTACCGAAAAGTAAATATGGCCAGTGTAACAGCTACCACATCACCCTTAGAGTGCCAGTACTACTGCTGCTACCACTACCACCACCACAACAACAACACAAAACGGTGACTACTGTCTGTACAGGTCGTTGTAAGTGTGCCCCCGACATAAAACTCCATCACTTAACCATGGGCGAACGCAAGGGGAAAGGGGGGGGGGGGGGGGGGGGCATTTGCCCTGGATTGATTGAAAAAAAAACGAATGCTGTTGCTTGTTCATCTGCAGCAGCAACGCTATCACCAGAACCAGACCCGGACAAACTTGAAAGTGGAGATACTATGTTAACCTAGGACATTGAACTCTGTGTAAAATCTACTACGAAGATTCGATCTTAAGCTCAAGTATCGTTTGCTAACTGATCCATACAAGCCTCACCCGTCATATGATTTTGAAGGCGACATGTCAGGAAGTGGAAAACGTTGTTTCAGGAAATCTTGGCTAACCCAGTATTCTCTATGGTTATCATATTCACCTAGGTTAAAAAGTGCTTTTTGCATTTTCTGTATTTTATTTCCGCAACCAGTTCAAAAAGGAATTCAAGGTGCCTTCATTACTACTCCTTCTACAAAGATTTTAATGAATGTGCCAGAAACCATACCAGCTCAGCATGGCATCGTGGGTCTTAACAAGATGCTGAACACTTGGCGTCAACCATTAGAGATCCAAAAAAAGGATATTATTTGTCAGATAGATAATTCCGTAAAACGAACTATTGAAGAAAACAGAAAGAAGCTGTATCCTTTTATTTCAACAATCTTATTTTGCGGAACAAATGATTTGGCAATTCGTGGGAAATATAGCACCAAAGGAAATGTCGAACAACTTTATACGTATCGAATTGAGGGAGGAGACAGTATTTTAAAAAAAAACCCATTTTGATACAGCTGCTGGAAATGCACGTTACACATCACACCGAACGCAGAATGGTTTGATTAATTTGTCTGCACAAGCTTTGCGAGAAGACATTGTAAAAGCTGTTAACAATGCTGTTGGATTCTTGATCATAGCCGATGGAACAGCAGATATCTTAGGAGCAGAACAGTTATCACTGGGAGTCCGGTTTGTGGATACGTCTAGTGAGAAGGCTATGATTCGTGAGAAATTCCTTGGATTTTCTCCCCTGAAAGGTATGGACGCCCCACGATATCTGATTGTATTATTCAACATTGCAAAACATTTAGTCTTCTCCTTAATAATCTGCTTGGTCAAGGATATGATGGGTGCTCGACAATGGCCGGAAAAGAAAATGGTGTTCAGGCGAAAAATTCGAAGAATTTACCCCAAGGCTGCCTTTGTTCGCGGTGCCTCGCATATACTGAATCTCGTTGAAAATGATCTTAATAATGTTGCATTGATACGAAATACTATTAGTACTATCAAAGCAATTATTACATTTTTTTCGTGAAAGCCCAAAAAGGAGGTCCTCTGTCCCAAATATTCCTATTCTGTGTGAGACAAGATGGACAAGCAAGTATAAAAGTATTCAGATTTTTTCTAGTAAATTTGCCAACTGGAAACATTTTCATTGCATGCAAGTGGAAATACACGACAGGCTGCACATCAGTTACATTGTTCATCAAAGTCCAGCACGTTTTTATTTTGTCTCAATATTATTTCTCAAGACTTGGAACCAGTTACTCAGGCTCTTCTAGCTGTTCAAGTTGATCTTCCAGAAGTCCAACTGCAAGTTCAAAACCTGCTCAGTGTAGTAAAACTTCACAGAGGTGATTCCGATAACTATTTCAGTGATATTTTTGTGAAAACACTACAACTCGCACAGAAAGTGGATATTGAGCTGATTATCCCAAGACAGAGTGGAAGACAAAAGTATCGAAGTAATCCGGGAACCATAAGTGTTGAAGAGTACTTCAAACTGTTTACATTCCATACTTAGATTCTCTAATTAACTCAACTGAGAGTCGATTCTGTGAAGCCAACAGTGCACAATTTAACTTAGCGTTGCTACATCCTTCGAAATTGTGCAAACTGAATCGTAAAAAGTTTAACGATATAATGTCTACTATTATTCAGGTATACTACATTGATAATTTTGAAACTTCTTCTTCTTCTTCTTCTTCGCGTTCACCAGCTGTACACTCTGGCGTAAAGTTCTGGTTGCTCATCCACTTCTGGACTGCAGCCATGCTCCAGAACATGAGTGTTGCGTGTGCATCCATTTTACAGATCTGACTCATTTGAATGCAGACTGTTGGCTCCTCGCCTCTCAGGCAGATGCACTCCGACTTCAAAGGAAGTTCCCCAGTTAGTCGACTCTTACGACATGCTTTTGGGGAGGCAGTGGGTCTATTCTTGTTTTCCCCACAATAGGGCCCCGGAACCCACACGGGGGAGGGAAAACGCGAGAATGCAGAAGTAGACAAGATTTTATCGACTTGTACCTTTTACAAAGTTTTATCTGAGTGTCAGGTATGTGTTACTATTTTTTGCTAACATTACCAGCAACAACATGTACTGTGGAGCGATCGTTCAGCACATTACGTCGTCGTGTAAAACATGGCTTAGATCTGCAATTTGAGATAAACGTCTGTATGGATTGTTTATGTTAAGCAATTCCAGGCCGGCAACGAAACAAATAATGATTTGACCGTTGCTGGCGCTACGTCGTTCGTGGTTTGTGCGATTTATGAAAGTACTTACAACGAGCCTTGGTGATATCCCCGGGAACTGCCAATATTTTTTTTGTTCATACTTTACTTTTAGCATATTGAAATGTTTATTCAAAGTGAAAGCCACATAGGAAGGTGAGCAATTATTTTTTTTAAATCACATGAAAAAGAAACACAAAGTTAGCACAGTGAGGTTACGGTTGAAACAAAGTAAGTGTGATTTGCGCACCCTTTTAATTAATCAGTACCGGGGCTGCCAGATATTTGAGCTTTGACCCCAGTGAGAGTTCAAAGTTTGAGTAACTGAAAGAAAAAACAATAATAACTGGAAAAAAAAATATTCAACTCAAATCAAAAGCATCTAGAAAAACATCTACCATAAGAAAAAAAATATTTGACTCCAAATGAAAAGCATCTAGAAAAGCATCTACCATTTAAACGTCAAAAAGACATCTAAATATAAGGAAAAACATATGAAAAGCATCTAGAAAAGCATCTACAATTTAAACGTCAAAAAGACATCTAAATAAAAGGAAAAAAAGGAAAAACATATGAAAAGCATCTAGAAAAGCATCTACCATTTAAACGTCAAAAAGACATCTAAATGGAAGGAAAAACATATGAAAAGAATCTAGAAAAGCATCTACAATTTAAACGTCAAAAAGACATTTAAATGGAAGGAAAAACATATGAAAAGCATCTAGAAATGCATTTACCATTTAAACGTCAAAAAGACATATAAATGGAAGGAAAAACATATGAAAAGAATCTAGAAAAGCATCTACCATTTAAACGTCAAAAAGACATTTAAATGGAAGGAAAAACATATGAAAAGAATCTAGAAAAGCATCTACCATTTAAACGTCAAAAAGACATTAAATGGAAGGAAAAACATCTAAATGTGGATGTAAAATATCCGAAGTGGCAACACTGAACGTCATAGTAAAGGGGCGCTTTGCAAGAGCGCGCTTTTGCGATGTGAACAACTTGGATGTATAGAAACCGCGAGAAACCACAACCTGAACACCCTAGAATTTATTGGGAATGTCTCCTGTGACGTCAGGGGTACGCAAAAAATATAGTACCAAAAAATTAAAGATACAACAGAATGAACAAAGATACAAGAGACAATGACCAAAGAAACAAGGAATAAATGAGCAAATAAAACAAACATAAAAAAAACAAAAAAACAGCCTGATTTAAAGAAGAAACAACCCACAGAAAGAATTAACAAAGGATTACGAGACAGAAAAAAGGAAGAGACGAAATGAACAAAGCAACTTACATCATCAGTCATAGGCTTCTTGGGTGGGTTGAACTCCTCATGATAGCTCCGGCCACTCTTAATGTGGAACAACCTGCCAGTAATTCTCCTCAGCAGCAGAGAGTCATCAATGACGAATTCAACCACAACATCAAGTGGGCTCTTTCTTTTATCCAGCAACTCGTCCAACTGTTTACAATATGAAATAAGAACACATTTAAAGCCTGTTACAATAAACAACGCATTAATTGATTTCGTAATATAAATAAGGGCTCTTTTCATGTCTTTGGCACATCGGCATATAGTTCTAGACCAATCGGGACTAGATTGGTGATGGGGTCAACATACGGCCTTTACTTTCTTCTTCTTGCGTTTGCTTTATAATTTAGACTAACAGACAAGTTTTTTGATAAACTTGACTGTTTTTAGAAGTTCCTTTTTAGTTTTCCATACAGCTCTGAGTGAAGTGTTGACTCACTGGGCCAGTATTTCCTTCTTAAGAGGTTCTACAAGGGACATTCTTGCAGGACATGTTCTGTGGTCTGCACACACACAGCCCACATGGGCACAATGGTGAACTACTTAGAGAAGATTGTTATGCTTGTTTTACTTTCTTTACTTTACTATCTTTACTTCCCAGGACATTACCTGGTACCCATTTTTGACACGGTCAACTAGGGAGCCAAGGTCAATTTAAAAAAAAAAAAATTCAAGACATCCGGCTGGTGTCTAGACACTGCAGCTATCAGAATATTATGTCTAACTAGCTGTACCCGGCCACGTGTTGCTGTGGCATAGTTTGGCTAAATGGAAATGAAAGAAAAATCGCACGTGTCTAATACAATCATTGTCTGCTCAGATAAGAGATAGTCTTTGATCCCCACCCCCTCACCACCACAACTAAATCCACCTACTACTCTCTCCCTCATCAAAGGTTTTTGGAAAAGAAAGACAATGGAAATCGCTCGTGTCTGATATAGTTAATGTCGCAATCATTTTCTGCACAGATATAGAGATAGTCTGGTTTTCCAACTTTAGAACACGCACCTTATAATTGTGTCTTTATATTATTGGTCGTTTAAATGGTGTTATTAGCACAGTAACAAAAATGGTTATTTGGTTATCACATGCTAAAGCTGTTTGTATTTTTATAGGAGACGGAAGTAAAGCTACAACTGTACTTGTAAATAACAAAGTAAGTCGTAAAAAATAGAAAAGCGGAGGTAGCGTTAGTAAAATATAAACAAATTAGGTAATGAGAACTTGAAAATCACGTGTAAAGCTCTTTAAGTTCTCTTAAATTTAAGTCATTACCCCCCTCCCCTCTTCCACCGACTACTGCTCTCTCCCTCTTCGAAATATTTGAAAATCATTACCTGGCGATATTTTGTTGTTGCTGTAACTGACATTGACATCCCTGTCCATCTGGACTAAAATGGGGAGCAGGAATTGTAATAGGTAGTGAATGGGGCTAGTGTAATATTTACCACATCATCCTTCAAGTACCAGTACAACTACTAAAATAATGTCACTGCTATCTGTGTTACCATCGGAGTAGACAGAGAGTCGTGAGCCAGAAGATTTGGTTCCGCATGGCTAGTGCTGTCGCCACAGACTGGTCAGGTTAGGATGTATAATTTCACTTGCCGACAGAAGAACGCCATAACCTTACTGGCGGTCTTCACATGAGAGCACTATGGTGTAACAGCCCAACCACAACTATTACTGCTGCTGCTACTTTAAGTGGGTAAAGCAGTTACTGTGACTTAAAGCTCTCTCAGTAAATAGTCCCCCTCCCCCCCCCCCCCCCCCCCCCCCCCCCCCCAAATTCACCGACAACTCTTTCTCTCATTGGAGGAAAAAAAAAACACTTGAAAAGCAAATGAACACAGGAAAAAAACACCATAATTAGGAAATGAACGCCATGGTAAACAGCACAGCTTAAAATTCCAACGCAGATGAAATAACTAAATCTAAATGAAAATAAATGAAAATCTATAAAATTTCAGCGTAACCATGCAATCGGAAAGTTTTAAAATGCAATCATAAGTATGCGAAATGGTCAAATTTAATTATCAAATGGTTTACCCATTTACTTGTCTTTTTTTTTTTAAATATTAAGGCAACATGGCTAGTGCTGTCACCACAACAGAGCAGATGAGGATATTATTTTAGTCCGGGGTAAAAAAAAAATTTACTACTGCCGATTCGAACCCAGGACTCCCGCACAGGAACCCAGTGTTCTAACCATTCGACCAAGCAGCCAATTAATCGGATAAACGAAAAGAGAACTTAACTATAGATATGTGTCCCTACTACTGAGTCCTGATTAAAACACAATTCAAAACCGCAGGCAATTGTTTTCTCGTAGACAGATACTCCAGATATATTAATGAAACGGCACAACAATAGAAATCGCACGTGTCTAACACGGTTAATGAAGTTAATGTCGCAGTCAATGTCTGCGCCGACGTCGAGATAGTCCTTGATTGCCCCAACCCCCATCGAAGGTTGTTTGAAAAAAAAAAAAACAGAAAATAGAAATCGTGTTTAATATGGTTATTGTGGCAAATATAGAGATAGTCTTGTTTAATTTACCACGTCCTACTCTATGTATTAGAGAAGGCGTTGGCTGCACGTAACTCGCCGGCAAATGGCGGAAGCCTTGCGTTCTGACTACGGCAGCGCATGCGCAATTACTAACGTGGCTATAATTAGAAATCACTAAAGTTATAAATATTAGTTTCGAATATTATGGCTTGATATGTGGTCACCTATCTCTAACAGCGACAGGTTGAATTTCAAACCACGATGGTTCAAAATCCGGTATCAAAACAAACATATCCTGAAAATTTCAGCTAAATCGGTTCAGTAGTTTCAGAGTCTATAGGGAGCAAACAAACACACAAACATTGATTTTTATATATATATATAGATGAGAATTTGTCACATTCTCAATATTATATTGGAGATGCAAAAACATTGTTAGTGAACTGTTTTCCCTGTGTTAGTTCCAGGGGCTTCATTTTTGGGAAAAAAGAAAAGACTAAGATGCACGTCATTAAAGTTGACTAATTAGGGGTGTATTCTTTTAAGTCTAAGTGATTCTGCCTAAGAGTCGAGGAACCAACAGTCTGCATACAAATAACTCAGATATGTAACAGATGTGCACATAAAACTCAACTTCCGGTACAAAACCAAAGTCAAGAAGTAGGCAAACAACCATAACTTTTCTGCTGAAGTTTACAGCTGGTGAACATGAAGAAAAAGGAATGGTTCTTTTATAACCATACTGTGGACCTGAAAACATCCTCAGAAAGAGACGGTCATCAGATTGTGGAGAGGCATGATTGCTCAGTCTGCAAGGCATTTCAGGAGGATGATCATAATTGAAGAAGCAGTAGTATGGCAGCTTGTTGGGTTATCAACAGTGTGTCACTGGGACCCATAAAGGAAGCACTGAATAGTTGACCTATTATATACTCTCCACGTTATAATGCGACCAAGAATTGGCGTAAAGGGGGCCACCTCAGCCAGAATAAAACTTTACCTGTGAAATTCTATCAATCATTTAACAGTCTATAAGAAAGAAGTGAAATGAATGAAAGAGTTACAGTATTGGTAACAGCAAACTGAAGATCACATTTCTATTGAATTCTACCTACCTTTTCAGCTTGTACCAATGTGCGAGGAAAACCATCCAACAAAAAGCCATTCTTACACTCGGGTTTATTTAAATTATCATTGACCAGCTCCAGGACGAGCTCATCACTGACCAACTGGCCGGAGTCCACCACTCCCTTAATACGCTGCCCCAGTTCACTGCCAGAAGCAATCACAGCTCTCAACATGTCACCTAAAATAGTATTTGAAAAAAAAAAAAATGAGTAAATTAAACCTAGCACTGTCATAAAGTACACTCACTTGTGGATCGGAAGGTTACAGGTTCAGATCCCGACAGAGCCAGACTTTTTTTTTTTTTTCCAAAATTGATTTTAGCTCCCTGGTCGACCCAGTCTTGAACTGGCACCAGGCAAAGTCCTGTGAAGTAAAGGTGCCCGGCGTGATGCATACCACATCACCCACCAAGTGCCAACTGGTCGATAAAATAAAGCCTTATGTGCCCAATACGCCTGAAGGTGTGAAAAAGAGTCCTTTGCTGTAGTCATCAATCAAGTGAGCTGTGTTGTGCCCTTCTATTAAGTATGTGATTCTGTATTTCAAGAGGCATTTATTTTCAGGTGTGCTTTTCCTAGCCTTGAGTGCCCCCAGTCTACTACTGGGTGGTGAACTGATGCCTGTCTCCCTGTGTGGGTTCCAAGGCCCTATATTGGGGATGGGAACAGACCCACAAGCATGTCATAAAAGTAGATTAACCAGCTATGTTTCTTCAGATTTTGGAGTGCATATGCCTGTGAGGTAAGGAACCAACAGTCTGCATACACATAAGCCAGACCTGTAGATGGAGAATTTTTTTTTAAACTTTAAAAAAAATATACTTCCAGGGGCAAAGGGTTTAGCTAGCCTTGCAACAGATGCTGTGTTTCAGCGATGACTCAGTGGTAACCAATGAAAGGCAAATTTGTATTCTGTCCTCCCTGAATGGAAAATCAAGAAGGTAGTGCATCCTCCTGCACTTCATATCTTGTGTGCACCCAAGTATAGTGCATGTAGCCTTGTTTTATATATATATATATATATATATATATATATATATATATATATATATATATATATATATATATATATATCCTTTTCAGCCACATCCCTGCCAGCACAAGAAAGACTGCAGGTGACACCTGGCTGGTGTAACCATTACAGGCATCTTAATTTTATCTTTTTTCCCCCGATTTGTGTCGGCGCATGTGGCTTAGGTGTTGCTAACGAGCTTTGTAATGCAGAGTTGCCGGGTTTGATTCCAGCTGCAGGCCTTGCACTGGTTTCAACAGTGGTATCGAGAAGCCGTCCAGAAAGCAATGGCAAACTACTGGAAGTAAATTTGCCTAGAAAAACCACAACAGCCAAAGAATGCTTGAGTCGGTTCTGCAACATCCTGTAAAAGATATGCAAGTAACTTCTTTCCCGATGTGTGTTCTGGGGCCTCGGTGTAGGAAGAAAAGAACAGACCCACTGTACCCCTAAGAAGCATGTTGTACAAGGTAACTGATTTTGTGGGAAATCGGATGTGTTGGGCCAAAAGGTGCCGATATAGCAGCCTAGCCGTGAATCACAACACAACGTGCCAACTGCTGTTTTGAGGATGAACGCAGAAGAAGTATGTAAGTCTGCATCCCAGAATTTAAAAAAAAGGGTTACAAAAGTATGTTATTAAATGACAAACAACCTTTAAAAAAAAAGATATCTGATTCCAACACACCTGTTGACAAGTGGCAGACACAGTATTTCTCTGCTAGTAACGGGGCCTGTAAAAACACATCAGCTTTAATTTCAATCAAGAAAATCCAATTATAAACCTATTATTTCAGATATAATATGCACTTAAAAAGAACAAACCAACTAGCAAATCTGATTCAATTTAAAAAAAAAAAAAAAAGGCCATCATCAATTTCCTCCCCACTTCTGCTTGCAAAAGATTCTATAGTAATTAGATGACTAATGAACCCAAGAATTTGAATTACATTATTCCTGCCTACACATACTAAACAGATTATAAAATCACACCTAAACACACATGGGTTGTTTGTATATAGTCTTTCCTCTTGTGTCGAGTGCAGCACATAGGGCAGAGGTCGTGACTCTCCATGCACGGCGGTCCGTTGCAATCCGTTGTAGGTCTTGGATGTTTGAGTGGCCCATGAGCGAGCCTTCCCTGATGATAGTTCTACGTAGGGTTTCCCTTGGTCTTCCACGAGATCTTTTCCCCTGTGGTGTCCAAATGAGGGCTTGGTAAGGAAGTCTTGATTTATCCATTCTAAGGGCGTGGCCGACATAGTTCCAGTGGCGTTTTCGTATAAAATTAGACACATACTCTTGCCTGGATTCTTGTCTTATTTGTGTATTGGTTCGGAAATCTGACCATTTGAAATTTAGTATTCTTCTAAGGCATTTATTTTCAAAACTGTCTAATTTTGTGTCTAGAGTTTTCGTTGATTTCCAGCTCTCACATCCATAGGTTAGTACTGGAATCACACAAGAATTGAAGATCTTGAGTTTTGTGTGTTTGCTAAGTGTCTTTGATTTCCAGATGTTAGACAGTTTATTGAAGGCACTAGATGCCAGTGCTATTCTAAATGATATTTCTGGTGCGGTATCTCCTGTAGATGACATCTTGCTCCCTAGATAAGTGAAACTGTTGACTTTTTCAAGGCTGTTGTTGTTCAGCGTGATATCAACTGAACTGTTGGTAAGGTCTAGAATTTTTGTTTTTGCGGCGTTAATTTGGAGTCCAATTTGTTCTGAGAAATTCTGGAGTCGATTGATTTTTTCTTTGTATATAGGAGGAGTGTTTATCATAATTTATGAAGGGGTTGTTTGTATATAGGACCCCTGCATAAATACTCCTCCTATATACAAACAAACAACCCCTGCATAAATACTCCTATATGCAAACAACCTCTGTATATAATTACTCCGATATACAAACGAACAACCCCTGCATAAATACTACTATTTACAAACGAACAACCCCTGCATAAATACTCCTATATACAAACAACCCCTGCAGAAATACTCCTATATACAAATGAACAACACCTGCATAAATACTCATATTTACAAACAAACAACCCGTGCAGTAATACTCCTGTATACAAACAAACAAACCCTGCAGTAATTCTCCTGAATACAAACAACCCCTGCATAATAAATACTTCTTCTATATACAAACAAACAACCCCTGCATAAAAACTTGTATAAACAAACAACCCCTTCATAAATACTCATATAAACAAACAACCCCAGAATAAATACTCCTATAAACAAACAACCCCTGCAGTAATACTCCTATATACAAACAAACAACCCCTGCATAAATACTTGTATAAACAAACAACCCCTTCATAAATACTCATATAAACAAACAACCCCAGAATAAATACTCCTATAAACAAACAACCCCTGCAGTAATACTCCTATATACAAACAAACAACCCCTGCATAATAAATACATAATAAATACTTCTTCTATATACAAACAACCCCCACCAACACAAATCTTATTTACAATAATCAGTATAATGGCATCAATGTTTCTGAATTTTATAAAAGTAGTTATAGTCATCTTTAATTTTCCATAAAAACATTTTTGTAAAACTGGCAACACATTTTTTTTTTTTTTAAAGTGACATCAAGAAAATATTAAATTCCCAAAGACCTACACTTTTCACGTGTGTGGACAATTGTGTGAAAATGTCTAGGTTTATCTGTATGTATCTAAAATGTATGGCGCCATTGCATTTTATTATAAATTATTTATTTAGCAAAATGGTTATCACTTATCAGACAAATGTAGGATAAATTCAATGCTTAGGTCAAAGTACCCAAGTTCAGATCCTTAGGGTGCCCTAATAAATAACTTATTCGTTGTTGAACAGGGTATCCTGGTCTTGCCTTTTTGGTCTGCCATCCAGACTGAGATTCGGTAATATCAACTTTGGGTGTCAAAACTTCAGTCGGCAGCCTGGTCACACGCACACAAAAAACAACACCGGGTTGTTGTAAATGTGATTGCATAACGGAACGTTACACACGTCAACAAGCCAAACCACACGTGTGAGTGCGAGTGGTCGTGCGAATTTGCAGTAGTGTCGTAAACTATTTAAGATTAACGATAATGTATATTTCCACAATGTAATAATCAACCTGTGTGCCCTTTCCAGAGCCAGGAGGTCCCAGCAGAACGGCATTAATGCCGTCGGAGTGATGGTAAGACTGCACTGGGACGGGCATCTTGTCTGCTCGATACTCAAGGTTTGGTGGTATTGTTAAAAAGTGTGACCGGAAACTTCACAACTTCACAGTTTAAAAAAAAAAAATGTACCCGAATTTAGGGTCTTCATCACCACAAGCGCACACTCACCCCCACAATATTTCAGAGCGGCCGGACGCCCCCTTCCCCTTATAATTTTTAGGGAACAGACCCATTATACAAAGACGTTCTCTTTTTAAGAATTTGTTTATACAATTCCAATTTTTTCAAATAAAGTTTTATTTTAAATGTTCCAATCAGCACATGTACTACCAATAATAACGATTTTTATTGCACATTAAAGCAAGGCTCAAACCCCCCTGAAGCTCCAGTAAATTCCTTGAGGCGGGGCACTAAAATGGTTTAAGCGATGTGTAGTAACAATTGTTGTTGTTATTATAAATATTATTGCACAAATAACCTAGGCTTGAGCCTCTCCCTGGGTCTTCCTAATAACATTAAAGACCGCTGGACTAACCAGTGTGCTGGTTCCCCTACTACTCACAAGAATAAAATGCAAACTCTCGTTAATACTGAACAAAAATCTATAATAATAGCACTTCAACAAAGCTGATAATAACACATAAACATAGAACAGCAAAGTTTGAAATACCAGGAACTTCTTATTACAACAAGCGTTTGCGACAGTTCATTTTTACAGAATTGCTTTATTTTTGGCTTGAAATCAGAGCACAGGCGCAGGAAGCTGAGCGCCCCCACTCCCCTAACCAATAATTAGCTTAATTAAGCTCTTTGTTAGAGGCGCCCTTTGCTTTTAGGAATTTCAATAACCGACATGTGATACTTTCACACACAATAATAGACTGTCCAAAAAAAAAAAAAAAACATTAATTAGTCTCAAACGACTATCTGACTAACGAGTTTACAGTCTGGATGAAAAGTCTGACATCTCAAAGAAAATGTGGTGTAAAAGTGGAAAACGCGAAATTTTTTTAAATTCCACCGGTACATCACGTGAGAAATTTTCATTAAAGATATACATACCTTTCTGGACAGATTTAGTGCATAGGGGGAATTAGTTGAGATTCTAGAATTTCAACAATAGGGAAATGAACAGGTGGACAGACTGGCTGGCTCTGCACAACTTGGTGGAATACTGATACATGATAAGGCAGACGTGGTTAGTACAATGTGGGAGAACGTGCACCGTTCGGAGGAGCAGATGAATCACCACAATCTGGTGAGACTGAGTAAAGACAAGACTGACGTTTAACCAGAGTGCTACTGGCACCATTAGTGTCGGAATTCGTCGCTGGCTGCCGAAGATGAGGACGTAGCGCTTATGAGAATGCCTCGAAAGCTGTGATGTCGGTTCTTGAATCAAATCAAATCAAGTTGTTGAGGGGAAATTTTATTTTTCCTCATTTGCTTATCTTCTTTTCTGCCACCGGTTTGCTTCATATTGCCCTAATACTCCTCCAGAGTATCTGTTGAAGAGTGAAGTGATAGTATGAGACACACATTTTAACTTTTGGAAAATGTCAGTTTTGGGCTGGCGAAACCCAGCAGGGGCGCGCCTGTGAAAAAAAATCAAAGTTTTGGGCATTTTAAGGCAATTCTCAATTGTTGCCTCCAGTTTGCTCCTAAATATCAAATTACACATCTAGATTACCTTTTCTACATCTACAGTGTCTATTCGTGCGTAAAATAATTGTCTGGGACTCAATGGGAAGTGGTGAAGCGCCAAAAGTTGTTAGGGAAATTTCAGAGTAAGATCTGTTTTTTTTCCCCCTATCTATTCATGGGTAAAATAATTGTTGGGGACTCAATATATTTTCTCCTGCTGCACGTACCACAGGATGTTCTCGGACAGGGACAAGACGAAATTAGTGATTTTGCAAAAGGTTCTGTTAGATACTGTATTTACATAGTTGCTTCGGTAGCATAGTTAAAGCAGTCTGATACCTGGACGACAAGTGGAAAGCTTACGGTTGGTTTTTCGGACACATGTTGGACCTTGTTAGCAAATGGCAGAGGGACACTGGCAGACAATTCGGACATGATGGACTTGAAGGGATATGATTTTCTTTTCAGCTAGACACCCTGACCTGCTCACCGAGGCCCGTCCCCCACGACGTTCCGTTGTGTCCAAAGCCAGCTCGTGGCCCTCTCAGCAGCCTCACCCAGTTGTTTTAGTGCTCGTTTGCGCTCATTTCCTCGCAGGTCTAGTTGTTTTATCGTATTGTACAATGAAGTGGAAACGAGACCTCTTGCGCCTACCTCGACGGCGAAGATTATTACTGTGTACGCCTCGTCTCTCTTCAGACCAGCCGCTAAGTCACTGTACTTCTCAAACTTGTACATGTGGCTTTCGTCCATTCGCGACTCATACGGCACGGTCAGCTCGATCAGGATGAGCTGACGTTTCTCCGCAGAGTGTAGGACTATGTCGGGTCGCAGACCAGTCTTCCGGATTAACTCAGGGTACTTTTTATGACCGGGCAGGTCAACTGCCAGTAACCAGTCCCTTGCACAGTCAAGCATCGATGGAGCGTACGCGACTTTGTTGAATTACCAACATTTTATCTAGATTGTATATCCATGTGTCAACGTCGAGCGTGGTCAGTATTTAGATAGGTGACCACCTGGAAACACGATGTCAAGCAGCCTCTAGCATGGTCAGTAGTTAACTGGGTGATCCCGGGGAAACACGACGTTAAGCAACATCGAGCATGGTCAGTAGTTAGAACACCACATGTTGTAGCCCTGCTTGCTCTTGGTGCGTTTTTATGTTAATAATAGAAATTTGTATCTTTTTTATAACTCCTTGTCGTTTGTGTCGAAACATAAGACTATAAAGTGTAAGCTGGGTTTAGGCAGAGAGAGAGAGAGAGAGAGAGAGAGAGAGAGAGAGAGAGGGGGGAGGGGGGGGGGAAAGAAATGAAATATACGCAAGAAAGAGTGTTGGAGACATTTGTGTGTGTGCGTGGTGTATTTTCATCAAGTCCAAATAATATGGGAAAATAGTGTGTATTTGTGTGAGTGTGTGTGTGTGTGTGTGTGTGTGTGTGTGTGTGTGGGTGGGTGGGCGGGCGGGCGGGTGGGTGGGTGGGTGTGTGGGTGTGTGTGTGTGTGTGTGTGTGAAGAAGAAGAAGAAGAAGAAGAAGAAGAAGAAGAAAAGGGAAGCCAGAAATACAAGAAAAAGAAGAACTGTCTACCAAGCTATGACAACAAATGTAACGAAAGTTCACTGACAAGATTATTCGCATAGTGACATCTGAAACCAATATTTTCATAATGGTCACTATGAAACGATTCGGCTAGTTAACGGACCCGACCTTTGAAACACATTTATGTCTGCCAAGACAGGAGTGCCGTCTAAAGAAACATCTGGAGAGAGTTTCGTTTCGTATCTATTAACAACAAATCGGTACAGGGGCTAGGGGCTCCCAACCATCAAACACCAAACCGATCTGATGTCGCTCCTGATTTTCCTGAACTTTTTTTCAAAAGTCACGCCTGCATCGACAACTCCCATCCGTATCAACAGCGTCCAAATTGCCAGCCTACATCCACAATCACAGGTCATCCACAGACAGCAATCCGCGTTCAATCTACGGTCAGATCCACAGCTACATCCACAATCCATATCCACAATCCTCAAATTAGCCGCGGCTTATACTACTCTCGTGATCTGAGTCTTACCAAGTGATGCAGGCTACTCGGCGCACAGGGCGCCAGTTTCGATTTTCAGAGGCAAGCTTCAATTACAACACGTCGGGCAGTGATGCTAGCAAGCCACAGGAAAGCTGGCGTTACTGTCTACCTTCATTCTCATTTAGGATGTTGCTACCATTAGCGATTAGAATGGAATATCATAAAAGCACTCCGGACAGATCCATAGGTGCTCCGATCTCCTCCTCAAAAGCTCCACAAGTGTAACACGACTGATGACGCTTGTTCTGTGTTAGTTAATGAAACGTCATGTCATCTTAGTGAAATGTTTTTGCAGCTCCAGGCTGCACCCTTATGTCCACCAGTCTAGACAAGGATACGGAGTCATGTCCTTTGGCGTGCTCCTCGGTATAGTAAGTGGCATTGATAACATCACTTCTGTTCAGTACTGGACCAACCATAGCAACCACAGTGTCAGCAAGATAGTCTGCACACTCGTTTCCTTGAACACCCGCATGACCTGGCACAAAGATGATGGTTAGGGCAGCTATTTGTGAGGGGCTTAGTGTTGCAATCCATTCTTGTCTGATAAATTCAGCTACTTGTGTAAACTTTTGAGTACCAATCCATGGTAATGCCCTTGTTACTTTGTAACATTGTTACATTGTTTATACTTTAAGGCTACTAGTTGTAACAGCAAAGGCGCCTTTCATCTCCTTGGTGGTTTTCCCCCATGCACATCGCTTGCCCCGAATGACTGACCCATCTTTGTTAACTGTAGCAATACTTTCATCTGTGTTTTCGTCAATTAGAGTTTTGACTAAAGTGACAAAAATGCCAGGAATCTGCTCTCTACAGCTTCCATCAAGTGTGATGTGGACTGTAATATTAATTTTTGGAGAAGGAGGCATAATTATCCAGTAAGGCGGCAAACATGTTCGATGGCTTCCTCAGCCCGACCCATCCAGGATTTGCCTCGTTTGAGTCTTCTCTTTTTGTTTGCTTAAATAATTCCCCATAAAGTGGGTGTCGATGGTCTGACTTCACTTTGAGGTAGGCAAAAGCCCTGGATAGCTTGCTTCTGTTTTCCATTACGGGAAAATCCAAGAGGTTTTTCAGAGGCAAGCTGCAATGACAAAACTTCGGGCGAAGCTGCTCCCAATCCACCGACCGGAAAGCTAACGTTACAGTCTTCCTTCATTCTCATACATGATGTAGCGACAGTTGAACTGAAGTAAATTTGAATTTACGGAGTCTGGTTATAGAAGAACCTGAGGTATATTTAAGAAGCTGAAAAAATATAATACAGTTTTACAACAGCTGGAATTTAATAAGTTCATGTTTC